AAAAAATGTTTTAATTATTCTTTTCCCCTCTATTTTTTGTTTCAGAAATTACATTCAAGATGGCTTGAGAGCCTTGACTGAGGACTTTGACCAAATCAAGTCGAGAAAGAGATTTTTCCAATACAGGACTGAAGAAAATAACTTCAACTATCTATACCTCTTCATATAAGTCTATCAAACACTCTGAAAGTTTGAAGTCTACACTGTTACAAACCATGTTTGCTGTCTGGCATTTCACTGACCACACTCTCATTATCAGCCGCTGAAAATCATGCAGAAGGAAAGCCTGCACAAGGTCACTATCTAGTAAGAATGAATTGCTTGTCTTATGGATAATGTAAGCATTACATTCTGAACCATCTTTGTAGTATGAACCTGATTGAAATTCAAGTGCCATTGCCTGCAATCCATGTTTTAAAGTAATGCTGCTACTTCTATTGTCACAAGAGATCCTTCACCCTCTTTCAATTAAGAGTGTGTGACTAATGTGTCATACATTTTATTTTTCTCTTTCAGTGCAGTTTAATGAAGCTTTCCCCTTGCTACTCAGTAAAACTTAGGATATAATATCCAGAGCCAGATAAGCTTGCATTTTATGTTTTTTATGGCTTAGTTTTAACCAAGTCTGTAAATCATACATGACATAAATTCAGAATGTTCAGAATGATAGATAAGAATGGGAACATTTTTAAGGCAAGACATATTTGTTTTAAAGAAAGTTTTCAACATTATACATCTATAAAAGGAAATGTTTGCTAATAATGACAGGTGTCCAGCCTAAAGGTTTGATTGAAAGAGGCCTGACTTTCAAGAGTGAGTACTTGAAAAATGGAGGTACCCAAAATTAGTTGTAACATTGCACAACCCTGGCAGATGTCAACTGTTAGAAGCTGACTGGGAATCATTTATTGCTTTACCCTTTAAGGACACATTAGTGAGCAAATGTAGCACTGTTATGACATATACAAAAAGCCAATATTACAAAAATATAGCAAGGAAAAGGATAAGCAATAAAACAGTCAGAACTCAAGGTGTCTGTAAGCAGTTCTGAGACTCAGCTGATCACTGCATAATCACTGCTCCTCCCTCTGATGTAGTAAGCTTCTTTCAAGGGTGGTTCTGTGAGGCAACAAAAGCTGGTTTCCTAGGGATTTGTGACTCCTTTACTGTGCTCCTCAAAAAGATGTGTCTTCTCTGTAAGTTGATAAGACCTCTTCCCTTATGGCTTGTCTGGTGTTTAACAGCTGAATGCAAACAGACTCCTTAAAAGAGAGAAGGTAATGGAGACTTTGCACCTTCTTAATTGTCTGCTGTTCTCATAAAACTAGGGAAACATCCTTAATTCTGATATTTTCACTCCTCTATCAAAAATTTGCATTGAAACTGAACCAGTGTAACTTGTGGAAGACAGAAAAGAGCTAACTGTACACACAAGACAGAGCATGATTTCATAAATCTCTGCCTGAAGAACATATATCACATGAGATATTTTGGGAGGACACTGCTTCCAAATACCTGGCACTACTTCAGAACTTCTGTACATTGTAACAGCATTGTTATCCATGGGAAAAATGCAAATCTCTGCTAATACGATATAAATCTGAGTAAGAGAGAGAAAGAACTTGGCTCCCTATTAGAGTGCCTAAAAAATGAGACTTTCAATACTGAAAGTTCAACTGCAATTTGTTTATGAAAGAAACAGAACTGCCTTAAAGGAGTCTGGAAAAGGCAATATATTCAAATAGAGAAATGAGTCTCCTTTGTCTTAATTTACTGTAGCAGAAGATTGTGTTATCTTGCTGATCCACAGTTCATGAAAACCAGTGAAGTCCATAAGAAACTAATGCAGAGATTAATGTCTCCTATGAAGACAGGCTGAGAGAGTTGAGGTTGCTCAGCCTGAGAAAAGAAAGCTCTCCCTGCCCCAAAATACTGCAGTTGGAGGTTGGTCAGGGGCTCCTAAAGAGGGCAGGAGTGAGTCTTTAGCTGCAGGGTACAAATACCTTCGATAGCTCTCTAAGAGTCAAGGCATTTTTCAACTTGCAAACTGATGGGAATACCAGCTATCTCCTAGCTATTTTCTAAAATCCACCTCTTCAGGTTAGCTCCTCCCGCCTGACATCAAGGCAAGCAGGATCACACGTAGAGGCTCAAAACACATCACAAAGTCAGGGTGAGACACTAGTCTGGCAATAATTTAAGCAAGCATACGATTTCATTGTAATTTCAAGTGGCCTTGATTTTACTAACTTGTTCTTGGGCATATTTTTCACATAGAGCTGCTTTTGCTGGCGTGGAGGGGTTTTTCTTGCCTTTTTTTTTTTAACTACATATTAATTCTAATATTGAGAGATTTACTTCTGCAGAGGTGCATTGTAATTACAGAGTGTGTTTCATTTACTTTGCATATATTTGCTTTTTTCATGCCTACACTGTACAGGACTATGCTAATTTCGAAATACTTCTTTTTAATCTTCTCTCATATAATTGGACTTCGAAGGCCAGTACGTTATGCTGAAAGTGTGGTTTTGAAAAAGGGAAGAATTAGTAGCTGAAATCCCCCTGTGCACACGTTCTGTAATGTTTTCCCTGCAATGTGTAATACTTTCTTCAAACTGACTATTTATCACTACAGCTCAGTCATATTCACCACAGTAGATGAAATACCAGTGTATTCATTCAGGGAAAGCAGGATTCAATTCATGTGTGAAAACTTGTGTCTCTTCTTCATTTGCCAGGTTGGATTTGTTCCACTATGAACAGCCATTTAGAAATGTTGTGCTTTGTGTTCTGCACGCCTTGGTTTCATTAGAGTAGGGCAACATTATAACCTCAATTCGCACACCACAATTAGGCTGACGTAATATAAAACTGAGCAGAACATAAAATTACTTGTTCAAATTAAATACCTCAGGTACATCTATTGAACTTTCCAACTGAAGAACTGGCTTAAGCAGTCTATACGTGCAAGAGCAGTCCTATCCTCTCAAGTGTAAATCACTGCCTACGGAGAAATCCTGCGACTGAATCTTTCAGCTGGCACAGAAACAGGAGGATCTCTGCCTATCTCAGCAGGTAGCAACTGGTGCTCCACATCCTGATAAGCAGCAAGCAGAGGATCGTACACTGAGAGCTGCAATTATTACTCCAGAAAAATGTGACACTTTGCTTAAGCAGGAAAGTCCTTAAATATTCAGGCACCCTTAATGATTGCTTTCTCCTACCTGGGTTCTCATACCCTGCTCCCTAGAACCACCTGGCTTTGCTGAAGTCAGAGGTAACTCTCTCATCAACTTTGACTGGGGCAAGACATGGCACCACAGGGACCAGGCAGCATGATGCACATTTTACTCTTAACAGCAAACATCATTTTTTGTCACTTTCAAGTGCACTGCACATTTTTAAGAACCACAATGCTTCATCTGAAGCCTGAACAACTTGTTGCTTTGTTGCACTTTATTGAGTCAAACTCCTCACACAGCACTGCAAGAAATTAAAAGAGTCATAGTGATGGAGAAAGCAGCAGAGCACTGGGGTTTCCTAGCATTCTGCAAAAAAGGAATCTGACAGAGAAACCTCAGTAATTGCCAGAACACCCCCCACTTACCCCATGCAGTCCCTGTTCTGAGCTCTCTGTGATATTGAACATATGTTGTCCCCTGTCAGACATCCCTCAGCTACAAAACCTGCCCCTCTCCCTTTTTGGCACAAACTCACCCCTGCTCCTTTTTCTCCCAGTGGCGCCAAATCCCTCCAGATGCCCAGAAATGGCCCTATGGCTCACGGACACCTTTTCCACCACTGTGTCCCCCCCATCCTTTTACATTTGCCCCACCTTGGCATAGCAGAAGGAGATGAGCAGCAGTGGGAGCAGGTATCCGAAGACAAACGTGCAAATCACGTAGACCTTCTTGTGGCGTGGGTTGGGCCAGAACTCCCAGCAGAAGGTCTGGTTGCTGGTCTCGCGGTGGAAGATGCGCTGGTGGTGAGCCACAGGCGAGGCCATGGCGAAGGAGAGTGCCCAGATGAGCCCCACACCCAACATCGCGTTGCGGGGAACGCGCAAGGCTGAGGAGCGTCGGGAGTGCACGATGGCCACGTACCGGTCCACAGACATGGCCGAGAGCGTGAAGATGCTCACCAGCATGGAGATGGTGAAGAAGTAGTGGATGAACTTGCAGATGAAGGCTCCCAGCACCCAGGTGGGGAGCACGTAGACCGTGGACTGGAAGGGGATGCAGAAGAGCAGGTATGCCAGGTCGGCGATGCTCAGGTTGAGGATGAAGATGTTGGTGGTGCTCCGGCGCTTGCCTGGCTTGCTCCTCGCCAGCACCGTGATCACCAGGGTGTTGCCCAGCACCCCCAGGGTGAAGATTAAACCGAAGACGATCAAGGTGATGAAATTCTCGATGCCGATGCCGAAGAGGGGCTTCCCCTCGGCCTCTGGCAGCCCGGACAGGTTGAACTCCCCGCGGGGCGCCTCTGCCGCGGCTCGGGACAGGTTGAGGAGCGCCGCCGCGGGCTCTCCTGGCTCCATCCTTCCCCTTGCGCACCGGGCAAAGTTTCCGCGGGCAGAACGCGGAGCCGCCGCTTCCCTGCACCGCGGACCGCGGCGAGCCCGGGGCAGCCGCCCCAGCAGCACCAGCACGGGGCGGCGGGCAGGGAAGGGCGGAGACGCCGGCGCTGGGCTAGGCGCAGTTTGCGCTGCCCGGAGCGGCGCTGGACTGGGCACAGTTTGCGCTGCCGGGAGCGGAGAGGGCGCAGCAGCCCCGCCGCCCCCGCAGTAGCAGTAGCAGCAGCAGCAGCAGCAGCAGCAGCAGCGGCGCTCCGCCCGCTCCGGCCGCGCCCTCCCCGCCCGCCCCGCCGCGGAGTCTCCGCGCCCCCGCGCTGCTTCGGGAGACTGGGCTCCCCGGGAACGTTTCCTCGGGGAAAGGGGAGGTGGGGTTTTCTCTCCCTCTTTATTTCCCCCCGCCTTTTCTTCCCTCCCTTCGGCTTGCAGGTGCCCCCCGTCCCCGCCCAGAGCGGCAGCCGGAATCCCGGTCGTCTCCCCAGAAAACTTCTCTCCGCTCGGTGCCCCCGCTCCGAGGGAGGCTCGGCAGCCGCGTCTCCCAGCAGGGCTAGGCAGCGCTCGGCTCGTCCGGCCGGGCTTCGATGAACTCGCTTGGAAAGAGAAATAAATGAAGCGACTGCGTGAACCCACCTCAACAGGTAGCCGGCAGCAAGAGTTGCTCCGGACTAAGCACCTCCTGTGCTCGCTTCTTACCGCCTTCACAGGCTTCCATCAATCACCCAGTATCTCTAAGGACAAACGGCGGCACATATTGTCACGCCTTCCTATTAAAAAAAAACAAAACAAGCAACAAAAACCAAAAACCAACCCAAACAACAAAGCAAAGGAAAAGAAATGGAAGGGGAAGTCTAGCCGCTTTTCACTGCCCAGTGACGACGCTCAGAGCTCCGCTCGGCAGGAGCGATCCGTGCAGAGGCGGCTCCTTGGAGCCGGGCAGCCTGGAAAGCCCGTGCTTCAGAACGGGGCGAAACACAAAACTTCCGCCAGCACACGGCTGCGAGCTCATGTGAATATTCTCACCGGCACATACACCTTGTGAGTGAATCAGATTTGCAGGAGGGTTTTTGTACATTTGTTTCCGAGTTATCAGTCAGTGAGCTACAGCTGGCAGCAGCAGTGACCAACAGAACTGCCCAGATGTGCTGTTGGAGGCAGCGAGCCTTTGTTTACATATTTTTCTGTCTGCAGTTTGACGGGATTTTTTCTACCTTTCTTTTTGCTACTTATATCGAGGCATCTCAGCAGCTGCAGATCAGCTGACTGCAAAGCCATCGACTTCTGCAGATCTGGATTTTAATTAAACTAATCTATGGTCTGCTCCATTACATCCGAAGCAACACATCATGGGAGAGCACAATTCAGTTTATATAGATCTTAGAAACATTTATTTGGATGGAGCTGGTTTCTACATCTGTTGTAACTCATTTAAGAATTTATAAATATCTCAAGCAAAAATAAACTAGTAGGGATTCCTCAAAGACTTGGCTTTGGAATTTTCTGTAATGTGCATTCTTTACAGTTTTGTTGACATGTTTGATTACTATGCAAATGTACTAGTCTCTACTTTTGCAAGAGATGTGAGAAAGAACACTGTTAAACATTTCTAGGATATATCAGATAGCACACACTTTTTGGAAACTCTCTGAGTATATGGTGAAAATGAACAGAAGTCTATAGATTGTCCTAGTGTTACTGATGCCTGTGTTTGCCTATGAATTCCTTCATGCGGTGAAGGAGATACAAGAAACGTTCTGAATAAAACTGATGCTCTGCTTTTGAATCATGTCATGTTGCCAGACAACACTCATTTTCCAGGATGTCTGGAGTGCAGCCCTGGTTTTGATGACGCTAATGCAATCCTCCCTCTGATATGCTGCTGGTCCTAACCACTCACACTTCTGTTTTCTTGGAAAATAATATATTTTATACAGAATAGCCTGAAAGGTTAAAACAAAAGATTTGACACTTAACAGTAAAGTAAGTAAGCAGGACAAGTGGGTATAGAAACAAATCAATTTTAGTGGGCATCAGCCTGAAAATCCCATTAGTGATTTGGATGGGAGAGTTGACTACAGGTTTCCTTTGGATATTTAATTGACAGTTTTGTGGTTCGAGCTTTGTTTTTTGCTACGTATCTATTGTAAAGTATACAGTTCCTGTAAGACTGAGCATTAGGGAGAAAAAACCCCAAGAATACCACTTTATTGTAGCTCAGACTTTCAGGCATCAGCTTCTACATGAGCAAAGGAAAGCTCCCACACTGACAACACTCATGATTGCTGTCAAGATTGTCATCACCAAACAGGTATTGACATGTTAAACCACTGTTCTTCTTACCTAGACTGAGTAAAATTTTCATGAAAAAGAAAGTTCAGATGGAAAAGCTGTTATGAATTCAGTACAAATAAATATATAGCTAAAAACTAGTTGCAAAACTACAAGGAAAAAAAAAGCTGTAAAAGTATTGCATTGCACTTTAAGAAAACAAATTTCATGTTTTTGCAAAAGAGATCTCTTAAGTATGTGCCTCACACATTTTCTTTAATCTAGTTTTATTGAATTTATTTTATTGTTCTCCTGAACACTTTTGACATGAAAAGATCTACTAAAACTAAAATAGCCTAGGAACTTCAGAAAGAGCAAGAGACTGCATGCAGTGTTCTTCTGTCTGTGACTAGAATCCACAATTGTCTTTATCAGATAACTCACCTCCAAAACTTTGTTTGGCTCCAAAATTTTCCGTAGCAATCAATGGAGAGAATAGTAGAAATGTCTAAAAGGGATGGGATGTACCTATGTACCCTGCTAAGTCTAGGCCTTCATATTTACTCCTCGGTGGGTTAATCCAGAAGATATTACTGTAAAGACATACAAGGATGTCCTTCTTGTTGCTCACTCCAATGGTTGGTTATGTTATTTTTGTGTTGTTTCAATAATAAAAATATTTTACTTACACTGGTACAATTTTATTTCAGGAATGAGAATTCCAATGCATTGATTTAAAATATTAAAATATTAATTGCATTTAATTAGCACCTTAGAAACAATAAACGATGCAGTTTTTAGCTACTGTCCCACTTTTGATTACATTGAATAACTGAGGCACAAAAATCAGCTTCTAATTATACAAATACATACATGGATGTCTTTATGCATTTTATCTTTCCACAAGAATAAAGCAATCAGATACACAACTTCTTCAGAGAAGAGTTTTAGTAAAATGCTGTATAAGTTCTTTTGGGGCCTTTTGGGAATGTTTTCAGGCTTTTTTCTCTTGGGAAGTTGAAGTTGGAGTTGAGGTTCATAGCTCTCAACTGCACCCCAGTGTGAATAAAGAGAAACCGTTTAAAGGGTATTTATAATAAAGCATATGAGCAGCCCTAACCTTTAGAAATCTTTTACAGCTCAGACATTAGCTGAATGACCACTTTTCTTTGCTGCAAAAAATATTCTCCAGATTTGGTCATGTTTTGTTTATAAAACACAAGACTGAAAACAGGTTTATTTTGAAGACTGACTCTTTTATTTGTGAAACAAGATCAGGCACAACAGTTACATCAATCATTTTTCTTTGTGACAAGTTCCTGGAGCAGAAATTTGCATTTTAGAGGCAGATGTGAACTTTAAGTAAAATTCAAAAGCCAAACAAAAAAATCCATGATTCATAAGCAACCTTTGATTCACCTTCTATAAAATTACTAGTATGTAAAAGTCAAGCATCTATAAGCATTAACTCCCCTTCTATCTATATTCTTGGGAATAATGTAACCCTCAGGTCACAGTTGTCACTACATTCAGATTTCCATAGTGGAGAAGTGTCACCAATAAATTGAAGTTTATTGCTTCTTGCTGACATTTAAAAAGAGGTAAACATCTGCCCATATACGTTTGAGAGCCATTGTCATTCCATCCCTGAGTCTGTGCTGGGTTTTTTTCCACCTACTTCTCTATTCCAGTTCTTAAAAATCAGTTCTAAAAAAGTCTTAAAATGCAGGCAATCAAAAGTAAATTTGAAGCTAAGTTTCCAAAATCCCATTCATACTTTGTATTACTATTTAGTGCTTTAAAGTAATATGTTTTAGGCTTAAAAATTGTGCAAAAAAACCATGTATCCATATTTTATTCAACGCCCAGAAATTTTCTCTGTATAAAATGTCAAAAGCTAAACACCATGGTCTAACAACATGAACTTGCTTTATAGTTGTTAAAGAGAGTTGCTTTTCCTTGATTTGTGACAATTACCCCATGGGATGCTTTTTGATGTTGGCTGCAGAAGCAACTTGCCTGTGCATAAAAACACAACTGTGTTTTGTCTAAAACAGAATCAAGTGTATTTTGATGAACACTTGTAATACAACATAACACAATAGATCGGGTCTTACTAAACTCAGGACAATGCAGCAGGTATCCAGGTCATGGGCACAGCAACTGCACAAGTCTTTCAAATGGACAATTATTCTACCTTCAAATTGCTTTGTGAAAAAAAATGATTGGAGTGAGGTCATAGGGCTTAAAAAAGGCTTAACTTGTGTAAAATGAGCAGTATGTTTCTATATAGGAAAAACAGAAATATGGGCTCAAGAACTTACCTTAGCCATGATGTTGGCAAACATCAAAGTGATCAAGGCTGACAGAGGCAGCAGTAGAAAGAAGTAACTTGGAAAGCGTGATTCCAGCTGAAGTAGGCGTGTGCTGCTGGCAAAGCAGCCAGGAGTTTGCAGGTTGCTTTGCCTGGGGTCAGCTCCAGGCACAGGCAGAGGCAGTGCATGGACACAGTGGACATCTTTCCCAGCAGTTATTGCTCTCTCTACACTCTCCTCCACCCTGGCAGCAGAAGTAGCAGCAACCTTGGCTCCTGCAGGCTCTCCACAGTGCTCAGAAAGGGCTTGTGTGTCAGCAGCACCCTGGACTTGCCTTGACACCAGCCTTCCTCATTCAAGAGAAGCAAAATCCAATTTATACACCTTGCCA